GCGCCAGCATCCTTCCACTGCAGTTGTCCTTTCACTCATTCACTGGACACACAAAATACACGATACGTGTCACACATTTAAATATTCAAACTGGCAACAACCCCCCTACATGAAGATGTGGTTGAGGCATTTTGATTGGACTGGAGCCCTTCTTTAACTACCGTGTATGAGGCAGAGAAGCTTCAGGCCCATAAGTTCCAACCCAATGTCAAGTGCAACAGAGAGGTGATTTTTTTTTTCTTTCTTTCCTTCCTTCTCTTTTTCATGGAGAGAACAGAATGTACTGAAGGCAGCAGGCAGGCAGGAAGAGAGTGGCTAAAGCCTTAATGATATGGTGTATGATTGTAACCTTGGAGTGTGTGCGTGCGTGTGTGTGTGTGTGCATGTGCGTGTGTGTGTGTGAGCACAGGCAGAGTGTGTGGACCTCCTCTACAAAGCTTTACTTCTGTATCCTTCTGCTGTTCTGTGACTCCTCAGAACAACAGTAGTCCTGGGAGGCCCCTCTGCTTTCACCTCTTCTTTTTCTCACCCTCTTCTCTCGTACGTCACTGTTCGGCCCTCCCATTGCATCTTCATTCGTCTGTTGAACTGGACTGATTCTTATTTTCTCTTCCTTGTTGCTCAGAAATTGATCATCATCAGATGCAGATGCAGCTTAGGCCTGCTGGGCTGCTGGGTTACTAATATGCTGGTGCGAACCTAGGCAAGGAAATAAATAGTTACTATAATTTTTACTATTGACCAATTTTTCCCTTTGTTCCCCTTGTGTAATATAGAAATTATGCTTTTTTTTTTTTTAGCTCTATTCCCTGCAGGTGGCTGAATTGTTAAGATAGAAGAAGCTGTTCAACTTCTTGCCATTTGATTGCAGAAATTGGCACATTTAATTCTGCAACTTACAGTTATGACGTTTCTTGCCCATTGAAGGCACAGGTTTAAAGCCTGTATTGTCTTTAAAAAAAGAATGGTCTCTGCTACAGTTGTGCGTGCATTGTGTGTTGTTAATTCATGTGTATTGATAACAATGCCTTGACCATTTCACTTCCTGGTCAAATTCTTTGTCAGTTTACTTTGTTAAAACCTGACCAGTTTTCAGAATGGAAAAAAAAATGTCCTGTGTAGCTTCAGAGCTGTCAGAAAACATGCTGGCATTAAGAAAGGGAATTGATCAGCTTGTAGGTCTATGTTTGCAGTGCATTGGACAGTTTTAACTAGGCTTTAAGTGGAATTTGTTCTTGATTACTGAATGTTACGTGCTAAAACCACAGGGCATAATAAATTCATTGAAATCTTTAAAATGTTTAAATTCTCTTTATCATTTTTATTTTAATTACAAAACTAACTGGAGTACGGTGTTTCACTTGAATCCCATATACCCTGAGGGCTGAAGGTAACTGCCTGCTTGAATTGATTGGTAATTCAGTCATGCCTTGGTATCAGTAACACTGTGACCTTGGGTTTTTACCTTCACATGTTCCTGGTTTATTATTCCTTGCTTTCCAGCAGCTATCCCCATTTCACTGGAACCACCTTCCATTCATTCTTGTCCGTTTTAACACTAACTCTCTGGCTTCCCTTTATTTCTAAAGAACCTCAGTGACTTATTCAGATGGCGTTTACGGTACTCGCTGAACTCGTGTTGCAATCAACAGTTTCCGTGCCCTCATTTTTGTAACAACAGCAAAATAGAGCATGAAGGTCAAGTAGTGGACATCCTGTCCACGTTTCAGGGAAGTGGAAGAGGCCGGCATCATATAGCGACTGGTTGAGCGCTCTCCTCATATACAGTCCTATATCAGAATTGGGTCAGATAGTTGCAGGAGTTACCCAGGTTTATCATGTAGTCAGAACAATGCAACCATTGCAGAAGAAAATGAATGGGAGGAATGTGTTCAGAAACCAATGACTGAAATATCTGGTTACCAATTGTTCCGATTGACCTGATCATCTGAGCAGACGGGCTTTTAAATATACTCTCTGTGGCTGGGCCGTAATTTATAAACCGTGTTCAAGTTAGGAATACACTTCTGCGAAAAGAAAGAAATGGCCAAGGACAGCTTGTCAGTGTCCCGGATAGGAGCAGACAAGGTAGCATGAGGGACTGCCAGTGCCCTGGTTAGTCCATCATTAGGAATGTGTCTACATAAAACGGGTCAGTTTCACTGCCTCAAAGCTCCTGCCCCCATCTAGGTTTTCCATAATTGTCAAACAAAGCACAGAACAGGGGAATGAAACTTGGAGCTGAGTTCAGAATACCTCAGCAGCCCCACTCCTGCCCTACTTCCTTCCCTCTTTATCCTCCCTTTAGCATGTTTTCATGTTCTTGGCTGTACAGAATATCCTACTGACTTATGAGTAGCCAGTTGTGGAAAAACAAAGGAATATAGAGACATAAATGGAGTTTTAAAAGTGCTTATCTGATCTGGATCTTGGATTGCAAAAGAAGGAATGCATGGTCTTTAACTAAATACTGCTTGGATTCTTCTTTTTCATTCATTCATACAGTAATTTCTTTAGTGCTCATTTTTGGCTTCCCCTCTCTTCCTCATCTTGTTTCTGCTCTCCGCCTTTCACCCACTAGCCTTTTCTTTCCCTCTTGTCTTGTCCTGAACATGGATAATGAGGCCCCAGGCCTGCCATAAGTGAATCATGTATGTTGATTGGTTTGGCAGAAGCAGGCCCTTGCCAGAGTCACTTTGCACGCACTGCCACCCCTTGAAAGCGTTCTGTTGGCCGTGCTGGTGTGCGTGTTAGAGAGAGATGAAGGGGAGACATGAGGGAGAGAGGGAGGTAGAGAACTGGCAACGAAATAAAGAGTGAATGAGAGGAGAGCTAGGCAGCCTGCCAAGACAGGAGTGTCTGGATCTAACAAAACACATTTATTAAGCAGGACAGGGCTTAACTGGAGCTGCTTTTCGGGACCAGATTTGGACACTAAGTCAGGATTTGGGATTATGTTAAAGATAAAGTTAAAGATAAAATTATTTTAAAAAAAATAAAATTAATTTTGTTGGTTTTTTGTTCTTGTTCTTGGGTTCCCCAACTTGTTCTTTTTTTTCCTTGTTTTGCTGTCTAGAGCCTGAGGCGCAGAGTGTCATTTACTGGACTTCTTGTTTTTAGCTAGGTTTATCTTTCCTGCTTTGTGCTGAAGTCTACAGAGTTGTCTTGAACCTAAATGTTTTTGTCAGAGTGTCTGCTCTGTTTTTAATAGATCGATGGGAATTTCTCTGTAATTTTACTCTGCTGGAAGGGGATCAGTCGGGACAGCTTTGGAATAGAGCGACTAGCTCTAGACAAGAGAGATAAATTGGTCTACAGCTCACTTAACAAGCCACAGCTGAGTAATGTCAGTGCATCAAAAGTGACTTATAGAGTAAGGTGTTTTGGCATTCAAATAGACAGCTAGGCAAGCAGTTTTCGCTCCAAATTCTTCCATTTGTCTTCCTTCATACTAAGCCCATGTTCTTTATTTCCTCAGTGTCTTACACTCCAGAGAGAAGATTACCAAACCACTAGACCTCATGAAAGTGAAAAATAATTAAAACCCTACAGCCAAAGCCTTTGAGTCCACATTGTGCTTTGTCATTAAGTAATTTTTGCTATACTGACTTTCAAAGCTTACTGCTTTAGTTTATGTTCAACAAGACATTTTATGAACTGCGGGCTGAGCGGTTTGGGTTTTTTACACCATCTGAAACTATAGAAAATATATTATTCTGTCTTGGCGCAAACCACTACGACATGTTTTACCATACTGTATACCATCCACATACGTGGTTCAAAGAGGTGAAATATGTTTGGTGAATTTACTGCACCGGTTGATGTTTTGCAGCAGTAAAAGTTATCTGCTTCAAAAGCAAACTGCAGTAGTCTTTTTATGTAGTGGTGTGTAGCTTCAGACGGGCTGCCTGAGCTGAATGTGGGGTAAGGAAGAGAGACTGCTGATTGTCAGGGGATTAATAAATTATGATGTTGTGCTCTGCTCTTAGGTCGATTTTCTTTTTTCTTTTTGCCCTGGTCAGAATCATTGGGGGGAAGGGACGTAATAGGGTCTAGAAGCACAAGCAGGAGAACTTACTGCTTGAGTCATGATTGACTTAAGTGTGTTGACAGTTAGATTAACCAAGACTCTGCCTACAGTCAGACTGTAATGTGCTAATATTCTGTGTTCTCATCGCACTGAGCCATGCTGAGCTTGCAGTTAGGACTCCCACTCTATTTTTACATCTTTGTACTAAAAACAAAGACAAAGTGATGTAAATATCCCTATTGGCAAGAATGACATTAATTTTTAATTGTCTAATCTGCACTTATGTTGGAGATAATCAAAACCTCCTTGTCATAGTGTTCTCTTTTTAATCGTTACTGTCTGAATGGACTATGAATGGTGTAGTGTTGAAACAGACCGGTAATGTAGTGGAGGACACTGGTGTTATTGAGATATGCCACTGTCAGCAAAAGCAAGCAGGCAAGAATCGATATACGGTAGGATCAAGAGCAGGGACTCAGCATTGTTTGTGTGGGTGTGGGAGCATGTGGAGATGTACTAAAAACCTTGTCATCCACTCACATCCTTTAAATTATGGGCAAGATTAACTGTATGGTAGTTTAGTGGCAAAAGGGAAGGGAGGCATAGTTATGGATTATGTTTGATTATCAAAGTAAGGAAGTGTATTTTTGACACAATTTTTCAAATATGAAAAGATCAGCTGACTTTATGGTTATTCAGAAAAAAACAATTTCTCATTATGTTGCACAGTTGTTATATCGACCTGTGTGTGTGTGTGTGTGTGTGTGTGTGTGTGTGTGTGTGTGTGTGTGTGTGTGTGTGTGGGGCCTGTCCTTATATGGTCTCCATGTGCGTGTGGCACAGGGTTCAGTGAGCTAATTTCTATGTTCTCTGACTTACTTCCTGTACTTACTGTGTTACTTTTGAGAATACAAATGGTTGTCATTGTGAAATTAGAGATGACTAAGTGTTCTCTCTGTGCCTCCTACAGATGACAGATTTGTCTGCTGAAAATCACTGAGGGAATTTTGAAGTCTTAAAGAGACGGTGGCAAAACGAATCAGAACAGCCTAACAAGAAAAAGGAGCTTTTCCTTGACAGCCTAAAGAACTTGGTAGCACAACGGCACAGATGTGGACTCCCCAACAGATTTTCATCAGATAATCTGGACAACATAGAAACTTGGTCGATACAATAGAAAGAAATCTGGAACCATGTCGGATCATAAAGACATGACCCATCGCCACCTGAAGCACAAGCTGCAGAGTCTTGGCCGAAGACTTGATGAACTGGAAGAAGCAACAAACAAGCTACAGAAGTCTGAGGATGAGCTTCTTGACCTACAGGTAAGTTGTTGTGACAGTGTGTGGAGGGTTGTGTGTGTTTGTGCATCTCAAAAGAATGACTGAAGTGAAAAAGAAACGCAGTACATGAAAAGAACTGTTGTACTCTCTCCTCTGCAGGACAAGATTATCCAGGCAGAGGGAAGTAACTCGTCCCTGCTTGGTGATGTGGAAGCCCTGAGAAAACGTCTCTTGAAGATCCAGGGGAAAGATGAGGAGGTACGTAAAGCTGAGGATCTTTGCCGCACAGTCAGAGAGAAACTGGAAGAGGAGGAAAACCTTACGAAAGAGCTAAAGGCAGAAATAGAACGTCTTCAGCGACGGATGGCTGAACTCGAGAAACTGGAAGAAGCTTTTGGGAAAAGCAAGTCTGACTGCAGCCAGCTCTGCCTTAGCCTCAATGAGGAGAAGAACTTAACCAAGAAGCTCTCATCTGAGTTGGAGACACTAAAAGCCCGTTTGAAAGAGGTGGAGGGGTCTGAGACAAAGCTGGAGAGAACGGAGCAGGCCTTGGCTATGGAGCTTGAAAAGCTCAAGGGATTCACCCAAACCTTTGTGAATGAGCGTAAGAGGCTGCTAGAGAAACAAAGAGAGGATGAGAAGACCATTCTGAAATTGGAAGAAAAGCTGGCGCACCAGAAGAATCGCTTTGGCATGTCAACGGATTCTGGCAGAGCAGATTTCATGAGCTCAAGAATTGAAGATGAGCTAACATCCACAGTACTCTTAACAAGTAAGCTGGCTGGACAGAAGAAGAGCCATGACTACTCAAAGCTGTCTGAGAATGAGAAAAACAGCGGTCTTGAAGGCTCGCAGGAGGACAACAAAGTAAAGGAGTTGACACAGGAGGTAGAACGACTGAAGAACCGCCTTAAGCAGTTGGAGATTGTGGAAGAGGATTTGAAGAACTCTGAGTCAAAAAATGGTGAGCTTCACGAAAAGTTCCAGATAGAAAGGGACCGAGTTCGAAAGTTAAATGAGCAGGTGGAACACCTCAGGATGCAACTGTGTGGAAAAGGCGGAATCGGAGGAAATGGAATTGGTAACTTGGATAAACACGGCAATGGAAGCAGCACTGCTAAGGTAATTGAAAATGGCAAAGTTGAAAATGAAGAGACTATCCTGAAGGGAGGGTTTAGACAAGAAAAGCCTAAATATAGAAGTGCAGCAACTGTCCCAGAGCCAAGTTCCCCAAAACATAGGAACAGAGATTTATCTCCTCAGCATAAATCTTGGAACAAAGATTTCAGCAACGCTGAGAAGGGTTCTCCCAAGTCAGTGAGAAGAGCCCTGAGTCCTGCCCAAAAGAGAAGGACACCCAGAACTACAACTACCACAAATTCATCTGATAATGGAATACGAGATACAGTGCGAGGAGCTGAGGAAAAGCCAAAAGGAGCCACATACAGCTCTGTGAATACAACTTCTAGTGATACCAAGAAGGTGTCCGTCCTTAGTCGATACCCTCCAGCAGCTAATGACCAGAAGCCACTAAGGACAGCTCACAAGCATACGGATGACATCAAGAAGAGCAGAGAAAAGTTCTCCAAACTGTACGTAGGTAGTGACAGTGAATCTAACAGCTCTGATGTCGTGCCTGACAGTACCTCCAGTACCATGAACAGCATCTCTGCTCTAGAGAAGGAAACGGCGCCTGTGTCCGAGCAGGAATCAACAGACCAGATTCAGGAATCTGTATCTTCTTCTATTTCTACTATATCCAAAGCCAATGGCTCATACACAGCCTGCAAATCTCACATCAATCCCTTGCTGCCCAATGACCACGGGTCAGAGGGTCATTCTTCTGCCTCAGAAACAGAATCTACTGGATCAAGGCCATCTGAGCTGGACCCTACAGCTGAAGCAGCTGAGGCAACTAGCACAGCTGTAAGCAGTAGGACTGTAACCTCCAGGTATTCTAGATACCCTCAAGTCCAGGACTCTCATTCAGAGGGTTCCTCCTCCAGGAGCTCTTTTGATGAGGAGCTGCACAGCCGGTCACAGGGAGCTGAGGGAGGTCACCAGGGATCCATGCATACTCCAGCAGGGATTGAAATCCAACGAGTATGCAGTCCTAGAGAGGCACTGAGGTCAAGAGCTGTGATCAAGCCTGCTATTGTGGAAATTGACAGAAAGGAAGTAATGATTTCAGAACCCTTGCCTACAAATGGGAAACCCAAGATCTCGACCAAACCAATAGTGACTACTACTAATAAAATCACCAGTAGTATAACCATCTACCCAAATGATCCAAGCTCTTCCAGAACCAGCAGTCGCAGCAGCAGTGTGTCCAGTGAACCTGCACCTATTAAAGGACGCCACACATCTACCAGTAACATCGTTATAGGTACGTGTCAACAATTTAGAATGATCTAGTTAAACTTATACTGCATTTTTCAGGACAGGATCTAGATACTAATTCTAAATAGTACAGTAAAGACAACATTTTTATTTGTTGTCACGTGAAACCTTCTAATTAGTGCTCACAACTTGCAGCACTCACAAAACTGTAGCACACCTTTTGGACAGGCTGTTAGGGTAATTAAACCTGCTACAAGCCCCATTATTATATGTCCAGAAAGTGGTGCATGGTGAACACCTATCATTCATCAGCATCTGCTTCCCCAACATTAAACCTCAGTAAAGGTTTTTTTGTAGCAGTCTGTAAATGTGCTTTTGTCTTCTATAGGATTGGGTGTTTTAATGTAATTAACCCCTAGTCATGTTGGCGGCAGAACCATCTGTCTCTCTGCAGAATGAAATTGTGTTCCCTGAGATGATCATCTTTATTCAGTTCAACTCAGAAAATCCCAACAATCCCCCCCACCCCCTGAGCCACAAGGCTCAGGGATAGGCAGCCACCTGCCTTGACTGGTTACAGATGAGGGGAAAGAAAAGAGAGCCTAGTGACATGGTAATATTTGCTAACAAGCATTAAACACAAACTTAAGCTGATAGGATGTCATTTGTTTTTGTCCTGAGCCAAACTGTTGGACCGAGATTAATTTTGCACCCCCCAAAAACTGATATTTTAAAGCACATGTCAACTTACTGTCAACTTGTTGCATCTGTATAAATGTATCATTTTATTTATATTGCCAGGCCCAAACACTGACCATCATGGCAGTATTTCCGTCCCATATGAGATCTCCATACCCAAGAGTGAGATCACTTTGCGGCCATGCCAGGACCAGGACTGTGGGCCACACAGCGATTCATCATCAAGGTCTAAACTCCACAACTCTTCCAGGGTGGAGACCACTACCAGCCACCTGTGCTGCCAGCGCAGCAACTTTAGCCTCCAGTCCCCGGACGTCACTTCCTCAGACTTCAACGACACAGAATCAGGATTTGAGAGCAGCAGCAGCACGACCACCGTCACCAGCTGGAGAAGCCAACGGCAAAGCCAACCGTCACACGAAGACAGTTTGCCAGATATGAAGAATGTGACCGTGAGAAGCCCCTGGAGGAACAAAAGCGCCATGTCTGTGGACGAGGGAAGTCGAGGAAGGAGTACGAGAGCAATGACAGATGGCGGGTCTGAAGATGAAACCGAAACTGCAACAACGTGGAGGGCTTACAGGGCAACCACCTTTGACACAGAGGACTCTGTAAACAGTGGAAACGGAGGCGGCGGAAATGCTGCAGCACAGAAGGGAGCCAAGCCGTCCCCTGCTGAGGTGGGGAAAGTTAATAAGTGTATATCAAAGTAATTTCACACACAGAGGAAAAAAATAATAGAGGGAATTTTCTCTTTGTCCCAGGTGTACATGCGTAAGATCTCTCAGTCTCCCCCTATGGAAACAGTAGGGTTGGGAAGGGCCATACCCCATGCACCCGTTACCTCTCAGTCCTGGAGCCGATCATATTCACAGCAGCCACCGGTAAGGAAAACTGACTTCAGGTTGTTAACACTTTCCTGTAGTAGATTCAGTTTTATAGGCTTTTGTTTTTATCAGATATGATATCAAACACGTGGCTATTGGATGCAACTTTATTTTCATTTTTGTTCTGCTTTGAAATATGCTTAATGTTCCTTGAGTCTGTTTTCTTGGTACATTTCTCAAGCATTTGTAAATTTAAAAAAATGAATTGGTGATACTCAATTAATAAAGTTGGTATTGCGCTTAGAGTATTGTTCTCTGCAAATAGTTTTAGCATGAAGATAAAGACTCCACACAAAGTGCAGCTGCAGGCCTTAGCTCCTGGTGTGTCCACTTTGCATTAGAGCTCAGCTGGTATTTTTCCCTGACGCCAGGCTCCGTGACTTCAAGCTTAGCACAGCAGTTCTGCAGGCCCCACTCCTGCTGCCCCAGTAAGCACAAAGAGAAAAGGGTGGGACAGAAAGTAGTAAGGATGGAAATGAAAAAGACCTCAACAGGGGGAAAAGTAGGTTAGAAAAACCTCAAGGAGAAGAAAATAGCTTTCTCCTATGTGAATGTTCTACCACATCAGTGAGAGACTCAGTTTGCTATTCTGGAAGACACCATGTAATAAGCAAAGGTGTCTGTTAAGGTCTGCGACTTTATTTTATGACTTTATTTTCTACATAGTATGTTGTCACTGTTTATAAGAGCTTAATTTAAAAAATTTCAATTTATGTGTGGCAAATTTTTCCACTGTTAGCCTCACATATTACATTGTGATATGTGGGCCATTGTGATTATATTGTGATATCATGTATGTGAGATCATAAAAAAATGGAGTGTGAATATTTCACATGTGTATTTTGTATGTAGTGATGCTGCGATTTATAAATACATCGTCATGGATCGCTGTCATGCATGTTCAGTAACGTGTCAGGGGAAATCTGGGGTTTTGGGTCTTTCAGCATCATAACCATCTAGCTGGGGTTGATCAGCATGAATCCCTGGAGCAAGCCAAGGATCTCCCCTCTTCAACTCCTCTTCTAGTGGCTTTTTCTGTGGATACAGCGTATTTCTCCCTCCTTTGTCATTCAATTCACTCCTATCCTCGTCAGTGCTCAGTAGAGAGACAGACCGCTGTAATTGCGTCACAACTAGGTCGCTAGGCACAGCTTCGGCATGTCTCCACAAATCCCTTGATTTTGGTGCTTGTTTGATAGAGTCTGACCTGACAGCCTTGTCTTCTCAGAGTGTAGCATGGGTAACATTCTCTGGGACATGGCATTCCCTGTCTTATCCAAGCATTTTTGCAGTTTTAGACCTCAAACAGCGGATTGTTTATCAACATGTCTTAATTTCTTTTGTAGGAAAATGAGCCTGCAGTGGTTCGAATCTTAGTCTTTACTTACATATCCGCACTACTACATACACATACTATAGTATATAGGTTTACTTTATTCAAAGCAGGGAAAGCAGGCTCAGACACTGGAACATTAAGCTGGAGTCTCTCCTCTGAATCAAGCGTGGTATAAAAACAATACAGCTAACATGGCCTTGGAGCTATAATTGCCTGCAGGACTCCTCCCCAGTCATTATCATCAATGGGCTTAATGAAATCTACCCAACACTGAGCCCCAACCCCCAAATGCCCCCTTTCATCACTGATATTTAGCAGACCGGTAGAAAAAGTGTGAAGGGCCTTGCTCTTTTTCTTTATCATAAAACCCTGGCATTAACAAAATAACCTTGAGTTTTATATTTTTTTAATGCTCCCATCAGGCAGTGCCCACTCAGTGCCACTCAGCCTCGACCTTAGCTCTGCAATTACACAACCACAACTTCTTAAGATAAGCCTCCTGTCCCACATCACTGATGCTTTGTGGTCCGGGAACCCGGAACCATCGAACAAGTCCAGTCTTCGTTGTTTAAGATCGGCTGTGAACTGTTAAACCACCGTCCCCCTGTTCATTTTTTTGTCACTCGTGCACTTTTTAATTTTATTGTGGGAATTTCCCAAATCCACTCTGCGGTAGAACCTTGTTCATCATGACATTTCATGCATGAACTGGTCACTCGATTTGGATAGCAATTATGTGCAGAAATTACCCCAGTGCAATAAAAAATAAGTTTCTTCAAAAACAAAACTGGGCTTTGAAGCGTGTCTTGGAGCAAAGCCGATCATCTTTGGTTTGGATTTGTAGAATATTTCAGCGGTCTGAACTGCGTCCGTTCCCAAGAGGCTTGGATAAATACAGCTGTACTTAGGACAGTGGAGGGTTGGGATTAGTCTGTGTTTGCAGTGTCAGAGGTTGATAAAAGAGGGTTGTGTTATTACAAGGTTGCAGACGGAGCCGCTCTCAACATCATTAACTGACACCCCATCAGTTGTTATTCAGCTGGGTGGGCATCTGTGTTCCTCTTGATTCATCAAAGTTTGTTTTTGTTTGACATGTTTGCTCCTTGTAAAATTGTCTTTGAACCTTAAAATGATGAATGAAGAACATTTTAGAAAATTGAGTTTTTCTTCTAGAGATTTAAACATCAGATTGTTGTGACTATCTTTCATGCCCTGGTGATGGAAGGAGAGCAGACTGAAAATCAGCTTTCTGTGGACCAGTGAGGACATATTGGTCGATAGGCATTAAGGAGGAGAAAACACTCCCAATTCCTATAAGTACCCTCAGCACCCTGGGCAGACTGATAGCTTATTGATTAGCTTTCACTTTTGAACCTCATGTATAAATTATCTAGAGGTTATTTATAATAGAGACAGACAGACATCTTTTCCTCCAGTGAAAGGTCATGGTCATATCTAGTTTATCTGAACCAACACTTTAGCAGCGTGACTAAACTATCAACTGCTTTGGCTTGTAGTGATGGCATTTATCGAGACTCATTCAATCTTTTATCCTTTTAGAGCTTCTACGATGTTCATATTTGTGCAGTGGCATCAGTTACCCTTTGTACTACAAGTATGAGCAGATGGCTTGATGGTTAGCATTGCTGCTAACAATAAGCATGCTAGCAAGGAAAGCTGTGTGTGTGCCACAGCTCCACAACACACGTTCACACATACACAGCCGCTCGCATTGCATTCCAAGCACACTTGATTTGAATTGCCTAACAGGCCGGCATTTAAATAGGGGTTGCTTGTTTTCTGTGGCAGTCACTCCACACCTTAGACTGCAAGAGCAGAATGTCTTTGTAGTACTTCCATCCCATTGTAGCAGTAGGAAACTTCAGCCTGCACTCGAATGAGCTGTGAATTTACGTTTGGCCAAGGAGCGAGGCACCAGAACATATTATACTGGCAGTAAAGTGTGGAGTCAAGAGTTGATCCACTGTTAACTGTCCTCCTGATTTTTAAAATCATTACCAGTGAGATTGTCGGAAGTTCCACCTCTTGTGAAACAAGTCATCAGCAAACAAGAAACCACAAACAGAAAAAGCTGATCTGGAAGAACTTGAATGCACTATTGTATTTATTTCACAAATCTGTTGGCCATAAGTTCATCAAAGAGCAAAATTCATCCTCAGACACACTTAGTCATATTTCAGTATTTTGGCCAAGATGCTCCTTCAGTTGGAAGCGCGGAGAGAAGCCATTCTCATGTCAGTGCCCCAGATAAAAGCTGAAGCAGGTTAAACAGCTATGCTGGCTTTGTTAAAAGGACATTCCTGGCCAGTTCTCCCTTGAAAATTTGATTAAATCTCGAGGGATTTACTGGGTGGAAAAAGGTGAAATAAATAAATAATCCTGAAAACGTAAAACTCACAAAAATACTGCAACATTTCCTGGTTTAGTCTGTACAAAAAGTGTAATTTGATGTGGACAAAGACTCCAGAAAAACCTGTTTCAACCTTTTTTTTTTCTTTTTTTTTTTAGTCTGGCTTCATATTTTTCATAGATATGTGAAACTTTAGACTATTTCCCAAAAGTCAAACTAATTTTCTTAATATCTTAGAGTATGTGGCTTGTTCATTTGACATATAAAAGCTGGTCAAAGAGCAGCACTTTTGTGCAATGTGTGTGGGGGGTTTTGTTGCAGTTTTATTTAACCAAGCATTATTTTAATTCCACTGCCATGTGTTGTACGGTACAAACCTCCCGTTGGGTGTAGGAGGAACTCTACATCCATTTCGAGGAAAGTTCGTGAAAACTCCCAGTCTTGGAGCATTAACTTACCATAGAAGGAGAATATGCCACTTGACGGTTTCCTCCCACAGTGACTGAAGCAGGAAGTGACCACACTGAGTACACCCACTTTGGCAGCCTTCACTGGTGACTGATTTCCTGTCTCCCCCAGGAGACTGTGAAAGGCAGACCAGCAGGGCTCCATTAAAGCCAATTAGCAAGAATGCTTTCTAAAACTGCACCAGAAGCCAACTCCAGCCCACCAAATGTCACTAATTATGGTGCTTTTTTAAAAACTGAAATTACAGGAGTGGGGTGCTGTTTCTGTGTGCTTTAAGAACTGCATCGTCATCCAACTCTCGCTTTCTTAGAGAAGAGTTACTGAGGTTATGAGAGGGGACGTGCCATTGTATCCACCACAAACTAGAAACTTGGGGTTTGTTTTCTAGTGAGCCCGCCAAATTATAAATCTCTCAGCTTGGGGTATGTTTGGGGTTTTTGGTTGGGGATTTTTCCCCTGGCAGAAATCCACATGGCAGACTTTACTTGTCGCACACCAGTTAACATTAACGGCATGTAGTCAATGCCCGCATAAGACAAAGGTCCGAACAAGGCCCCACAAAATGCCCAGAGCTCCTATAGACAAACTCCAGAGTTTGGCATTAAATTTCAGCAAAGAAATCCAAATTATTCCTCTTAAACTTGGAAAAGCGCTTATTTCGGATGCCAGTTAATACAACAGCCAGTTTTTAAATGTAATTTCTTTCTTCCAGGCTTCTGATAACTTGGACCCCAGTCCAAACCCGAGTCACAGCCCAGCCTCTTGGAGACGACAGATACCCAGTAGTGATCTGGGGACCTCTTACGATCGGATAAGCAGGACACCCGGAGCCTCTAGAGGAGGGGAGCCCTGGTCCAGTCGGGGGCAAGGCTTAGGGGCCAGAGCTGAGGGGAGGAGCGGAGCGGGAGGCAGACCGTGGAGCCAGCGTCAGTCAGAGCAACATTAGACCAAGTGAGGAGGAGGATTGAAGCAAGTGGGCAGGTAGGAGGTGGCTGGATTTTCTTTTCTTTTAACTCCTGATAGTTAATTAAAATATACAATCATTAATTACCCCTTTTGGAACAGCGTCTCATCTCTAAAGGGGCTTTCTCCTTCTATTTATATATTATCGTCATAGCGACAGTGATGAAATCTTTGCACAAGGCAGTTTACGAACTGTGCTGCAGCAAAATCCTCAAGTTTAAATATGCTTTTTTTGGTGACTTCCTCTGGAAAGACCAGCATAATTAGGGATAAATTATGGAAAATGAGAGAAAAGCTCACTTTGAACCCGGATAAGCATACAGTAACTTCATTTAGGATTGGAGACCTCATTCCTCCATCATACTAATGATATTCACATTTTACATGTACAGCTGATTTACCGTAAAAGACTAAAAGACTGGAAATTAAAAATTGTGATTTAAATTGGAAGTGTACCAATGAGCTCGGTCTCAATATTTTTCCCCAATAATTGCTTGCAAATTATCTTGTTCTTTCTGGCAAACTTTCCACGAAATTATAAGGAAATTACAGACCAGTCATGTTTCTAACAAAGATGAATAGTTACGATAACATTTTTTTAAAATGAAGGATTAAATGTGTCTCTTTTCTATTCATTTTTCCCCCTCCCATAACAGCACTCCATTAAGCTCTCAACTGCAAAATAAGGGCCAAGCGCTAGTTTCCCATCAAATGACGGCTACATAGATCACCACCACCTACAGCAGACAACAGTTTTGCAGCCACACTGAACAACAAACCACCGACCTGATGACGAGTGTACGCTGAGACATGGACGCTTCTTCCTATTCAAAACTGTTCCAGAAAAAGCCGTGCATGGAAGGTCAGCGCCTGTACAGTGTTTTTGGAGGTTTCCTCACCGGCCAGTGTATTATCTTCTGCTTCTTCTGTTGGATGTATTATAGTGTAATCCTGAAACTTGACAAGGGAGAGGCTGGCACGCTGCGCAGGGCTGGAGATTTTCCTGTGCGCCAGAGTTGGAGGAAAATAGACTCAAGAGAGTTTGTTACAGTAACCTCAGAGTAGCTGGAAATGTCACTTGTGCTTCAGAACTTCAACTTTTCTTCATCACTGAAAAGACGAACCCAATCCTCAGTCAACAGCAGCGCATCTTTCTCTCTCACAGGGCTGGATTTTCCCGTAGGATTCTCTATAAAACCAAACGATCGCTACTTTAAATGTGACCAAAAACAGGAAGCGAATTCCCCTCGGTTTTGTTTCAGACTCGTTTTTCCTTCTGAAAACCTTCATCCAATCCCATCCCATCCCTTCACTCCTTCACCAAACACAAGCCATGCAAACGTATCCACAAAACAAGAAGCAAACACATCCACATTTTTAACTTTCGGTTTAATTTCAGCCCATATCCCGACTTTCCAGCATGCGGTAACCTCAAACTGGATTTAATTTGAGGTCTTAGATGCTGAATGAAGATTTGCATGTTTCTAAGTAATAAATGAAGAACACTTGAAAGATTGTGACTCAGCATGCTTAAAGGGTTGCCGGTTGGCTGGATTTTTAGGTGCACACACACACACACAAATACAAATACAGACGTACACACAGACACATTTTTCTTTTTTCTTTTGTCTTCACAGGCCAGGACCTTGTTTATGTTTTTCTGTTATTTTGATTCTTTTGTAATTCGCTTCCTGTTCTGCATCATCCTTTCGCTTTCTTCTCAACCGTGTCATTTGAAAAAAGAAAGTGGACTGCACGCAATGAAATGGAATGCACATGCAAGAAGAAAAAATAAATAAATAAAAAACAAGAGGATGGGGGGTGGCATTGTTTATAACCTCAAACCATGACACAGTTTCCATGGTTCAGTATTTTACAGCTGTTGCAACTGTCCTCATCCATGTGTTTTGAAAGAGCCATAGCAAAAATGGAGTTTCTGTTTGAACTGAACTTTGGACTTTCGATTACCAGCAACCATGGCCTGGCAGGGTGGGACATTTTTTAGTGCTGCCATAAGTACTGTGTACACACCAGTCATAGGAACGACCCAAGGGCGTTGGACTTCTAACCAGGAAGTGACAGTCCTGCTTGTACGTGACTTGGTTCGCCGTGCGAATCGTGCTAGTGTCTCTCTTTCTTATTTCTATAGAGGTGTATTATTTTGTTACGACGATAAACAACACCTGGTGGGTTGGTATGTTGGAGCAATCACTCATTGCCAGGGGCCACTACGGCGGAGACTGTGCAGTAGAATTCAATTTAGCCACCGGCCAGTAATAAAATGAGGTGGTTTTTTTTGTTTGGTTTTTTGCTGAGGTCATCAGAAACCCTGCTGACGTATTCAAGTTTCTCCATAAAGTCTATCAACAGGCACCGGCAGGATCTTGAGACTGTTACAGAAGATTGACTGCAGAATGACAGGCTATGTAAACTTTTAATCCTAGAACAAAATTTATGAATGTTGCTCAGGAGGAATGCAGCTGAGAATGACCAATTGCTCGATGGCTTAATGCTCCGATCCAACACGACTGCATTCTTTGTCTCTCGCATCTGTTAAACTGTAGACGAGGGGGGGGAAAGAGAGAAAAACAGAACCATAACTGTGACAACTCTGGACCAAGTTCTGGATCTGTGAAAGAACTTGGGACTTTTTAAAAGCCTGCTCTCCATCTGGCTCCTCTGCTGTTGTGGATTTTAATGCTGTGTTGTCGGACCCTGCTGGGGATGATCTGGTTCACTTATTTTTTTTGTTTGTTTTTTTTTTTTTTTTTTGGTCTCCTGTATTCTACCAGCCGCCATCAAGCTGTAATATTTATTAGTCTCCACATATGTGCAGGTTCTTTTATTGTGAAAAGATCTGCCTAATGGCAGGACCTCTGTCTGTTGCCACTTTGTCACTTTACAGTTTATGCAAGCAGGAGATTATATGCAATTAAACTGTCCCCCGCCCACCCCCACTGCAATATCTGTAACCATTTCAGCCGTCATCGTGTACAAAAAGAGGTGACGACTGTGTAAGTGAGAAGTTTGCTAGTTTAAAACTAAAAGTTTACCTTTAGGAGTGCACATTTTCACCAGTCTGTCTTTCCATTATGTTTACCTTCTTGCAGTAATATCTACAGCATGTTCGTCTGTGCCTTGAGATGCGGTATAAGAGGTAAACTGTCCCAACAAATTCAGACCATCGCACAATTTCCTTACACTTGCAGTAAACATAAATAACATGCAATACAAACATGTAAGGTTTTGATTTGTTCCGTTTGCATTTAATTGCATTTTTCTTTTATTTGAGAATAGTTTTGGTTGACATTGTAAAATTATTTTTAGGGGAAATCCTCCCTGAAACTGTTAAAGGACACGAGTCACGCCGCTGTGTGGATTTGACTGTCAGAGTCACAGGGTGCAGCTCCGCCTCTGAAAGGCTTGCTTTGTGACTAGCCGCCTCCGCCGGCTTTATGATGGCGCAAAAACGGACCAGACGCACTGTTTAGAGCTCTCAGTGCACAAGCCAAGACATGATGATCATGTAGTCCTCCTGTGCTCCCTCTGTTATTCTTCTACTTCTCATTTACCAAGAGAGAATGCCCTCTCGTCCCCAGTCTCTCATCTTTTCGGCCAATTTTAACTTTCCTTTTAGGATTTTGCTAAAAATCAAGTGTCCCTTCCTCCTCCCTCTGTTTCTCTGTATTTTCCTTAGATTCTCACTTCCTAAAAGGAAAACCTTTTCCCTAAACAGCAGTGATGTGTGCTACTGGTGCAGAGGCTCGTTTTATTGAAGGCCAGAGGCCTGTCACCAGAAAATGATGGGCAGTTCCCTGAGTAGCTGAAAGGTGAAAGGTCAGGTCTGGGTCTAATCCTGTCTCTACATCTTGATTCAGGGCTTCTAAATACAGGAGCGTCAAAAATGGCCAGCTTGGCAGTGACGTGCACATGATGATAATTAAAACATCCAGGGGGGGGTATCGAGTTTCAGTTTCTCCCACATATACACGTGCTCTTCTCTTAGTGCGTTTGTTGCTGTTGTTGATATGTCAGCGAGGGTTCTCATTTAAAGCTCAAGTGGCGTCTGCAGAGCCCTGAGTTGGCTGGAGGGCGTTTGTGGGTCAGGATGGTGATGCAAGCACCTGAGCCACAGCCCGTTATCCTGCCTCATGGGCCATAAAGTTCTTGTTACTGTTTCCCTCCAATCCAACGTGATGCTCCACCACCGATCCCTAAGCATCTCCACCTGTGAGTTGTTTCTTTTGAATCTTTCTCGTCCTTTCTTTCCCTAAAGAGTGTTTGAGTTCGGGGTGGGGGTGTTCCAGCTGTCAGAAACTGTAGGTTTTACGATGCGTGGCAGGTTTCTCCTCCTCAAGGTCGGGTTCAAAGCAAGCCGGGCTGGGTAAAGGCCAAAGTTGAAACTATGCGATCCACCTTTCTTCCTTCTAAGGCCCCAATGTTCCCAAACGCTACTGCTAAACCTGATCGAACATCCACTCCATCCAGTGAGACTCAGCTGGACTGTCCCAGCATGAAGACCACCCGTGGCATCTGTGTGCGCTTATGTGATTGTGCAAAATGCAACTGCTCACAGGCGACAGGTCTTACTCAATGCTTCGGTGAAAGTTGGTGCAGTGTCAATTGGTTTTTGGGGGAGCTGCAGTGATAATTTCACAGGTTTTAAGGATTCCGGGGCTGTTTTCTTTTCCTGATGTCTCCTCTGATTTGTGATTGATGGTTGAATGTGGACTGAATTACAGCAATGGTGTAATAGCTGCTGTTTAAAAACAAAAAGAGGCTGCTTCTGCTTTCCTGCTAGGATACCAGCTAAAGAGTTAAGAGAAATCCTCTGAAGATGTGTTGGTATATCTATAAACATCCGTTATTTTGTTTTTCCTTTTATAAAAGTAGACTAGAATGTACTTAGTGGAGATCGGAGGAATGTTAGCAGGCCCTTGTCCTCAAATGCCTCCATTGTGAAGCCAGGGTTATGGTGTCATTGGGGTGTCACAGGCTGTAATCTGCACTTAACCAGCACTTAAACAACTAATGCCCCCTTCAAGTCCCCCATTGTTAAAACGTTTTCTCTTCTGTGCCCCCAAAATTGTCCGTAGCTGTTTGCTGAATGTACCACAGCTGGTTATGTAGGGTTTATTATCTGTTTCTTTTCAAGAATCATCTCAGCAGGTAAAGGAAATTGGCATGCACTCAGTGAAAAATCATGTTTGCGTCTCAGCCTTTTAACAATGTGCCAAAATCATTCCACAGTATTTACAGTTTACAGAGATGGTGCAAAAGTTTCCCCAGGAGGACACGGTGTGTCTTAAGGTTCTGAAATAAAGGGGAAATATAAGTGAGGTTTGTCTTTTCTCTGTCATCTCTCTTCTTATGTATTTTTTTTTTCTCTTTGTTAAACAAAAGATGTCTTATTTTGGAATCTATATTGGATAGATTTTATTTAAGGAAAAACTAATTTTGTAAAGTGGGCCTTATTACCGAAATATATAAAGTATTTGTCCATCTTGACTTAAAGACTTTTTTGGTTTTCGAGGTAATGTATCTCCTTTTTCTTTGTCACACTCCTGGAGAGTTCTTCTTCATGTATTTTGTGCTTGGTAGTTTTAATGCAAGACATTTCTCACAACTTGGAGACATGATGACGCACCGTGGATGAGGAAAAAGAGAAAGAGAGAAGCCAGCGTCGAGCGATGGTCTTTGAAGAGTGAGAGTCACGTGCGTTTTATCAGAGCTGAAGAGGTCTCCGGTGTTGAGCGGTTCAACACGTGTCGACCCCTTTTCTCTTTTTTGGTTTCATGTTTTCTTTTTAAATCGGGGACCATTCACTGCTCCAGCCTCTCGCTCATAAATTCAGGGTTTGTACATCTTCTGTGCTGTATGTTTGAAAGTGCTGCCAAAGAAAGAAGGGTGCAGGTCCCCAGACATGTGTATATATTGAAAACACACAATCTTAACAGGAACAATCGGATAACGAATTAAAATAATACATTTTTGTTTAACTGGATGTTCTCTCTCTCTTAACGCTGATTCATCCACATCTAAGAATTTCTGAACTGTACAAATGAGGCGTTTATTTGTTTGTTTATTTGGGTTTTATTAATAGATGAGTGTATATAAATGTGTGTGCAGAACAAGGAGACTGACAGACAGAGGTGTCAAACACAGACGTATATGTAATTAAAATCGGATCAAAATTGTTTTATGATTGATTACTGCTTCTCTGTGTCAGCAATGCCAGGCGTACTGTGTGGGGAGGCTTTTTTTTTTTTTTTTCCAATTTAAACTTAATACATTGTGCATGTTTTAACCTTTCTGTGGCTGGCGCACTCTGCATGTAGGTCTCTTGAAGCTGTACAGCAGACCATATGTATTCCAATAAAAATAAAAACCGACCTGTTTGTAAAGCGTCTCCGTGTTGGAACCTGTGTAAAAATGCAAACGTGTATGTTAATCTCGTTTTATGTTCTTTGTCCAACAAGCTCAGCAAGTTTTGATTTCATAGCGGTACACCCATTTTGTGCGTGCGTGCGTGTGTGTGCGTGTGCAAGAGAGAATCCTGGTTTAAACAGAGTGGAGAGAACCGCACCTGATAGTATGCAAAATAAGCAGGGAGACAAATGAGGCAAAATTGGTCAGGTACAAAGGGGGGGGGGAAACCGCAGGCTGCTGTGGAATGCAAAGTCAGCACACACACATCTTTCTCTTAAACAGCTACGCCTTGCTTTGTGAAAGCCAGCATTTCTTTTCCTGCAGCTGTAGGTTGCTTTGAAATAGCCCCGTCTTACTCAGTAAGTCACTCTTTTTATGATGATTACCATAAAAAGACCGAGTCTCAGTTATTTTGGAAATCATGGGTAACACTGGCTGAATCCCAGAGGAGTTGTAATTCCTATTCCTTTTCCAGCTTGAGCTGCATGGTGCCAGTTTTTTTGCACCTCCAGAGTACAAGCCTCAGCACGTTCAGTCGAGCTGCCAGGCTTTCAGGTGCAGGACTGAACTAAAGATGTCTCATATAATGTACCATAGACCAGGGATATCAAACTCCTTTTACATCACAGGATACATACAGCCCACTTCAGATGAATGAAATTCCCATTTCTGTCAATGTAAAGAAGTGTGACTACACATTTAATCCCTGCATAAGAATATATGTTAGCAAAAGAAAAAAAAAGTGATTTCAACAATCATCAGTTTTTCTACCTGACAATGATATGCTGCTGTATTAAAGAATTAATATAATATATATATATAATAATAATAATAATAATAATAATAATATAATTCAATAAAAAATACACTTTTATAGTAGATGGTGAAAACTGGAGTTTTTCTCTCTTATAATTGCTTATTTATTCATTATGCTCATTGGTGTAGTATGAATGTGTATGGGGCATCCCTTTAATCAGGAGGAAAAGCTGTGAAAGTTTATGAAAGTGCAGTTAAGTTCCAAATTTATGCCCTCCTTCACATTTTCCAAAGCCATCGAGTGTGCGGGGCCATTTCTGGCCCCCTGGCCTTATGTTTGACATCCCATAAATTTGTATAGATGGTGATTATGTAATATTGCTTTAAGGTTCAATCGTTCCATCAGCCACATCATTGGGTTTAGTTGCTTATTAATGCAAACATCAGCTGACATGGTAGCATCACATGACACAGGAGGGTTGTTAAACATCTTTGAGCTGATGGGAAAGCAACAGTAACTCTACAGACACTCGTTACAACAAGGGCATGCAGAGGACCACACTGGTTACTATTCCTGTCAGCTAACAATAAAAAACTGAGGTTACAGTTTACATGGAAGAACAGATGATAGGATCGGAATCTGCCCTACCAGCTCTGACCAGAGTGCACACATCTTCTGATGACTGCTTCCAACACGATAATGTACCATGAAGGTGTTGATGAGTTCACTGTACTCCGATGCACCTTTGGGATGTGGTGACTGTGCATCCAGTAAATCAAAAAGGGGGACCAGTTAAGTACTGGTGAGATGTACCTTACGTGTCCAATGAGTAGGTGTTAATTGTGAAGATATTTTAAAATGTTTGACATGTCACAGTTGAAAAAAAAATAGTAACAGTTGCTTATTTCCATTCAGTTTCATAGTCCTAGTGTTAAAGAGTCACTGCTATTGTCAGTCACACCTGTGGTTTTGCTTCTGCAATGTGAATAAAGAGACAAATAGTCACATCTAGCAAACCCGCAGGAATCAAACTCGTTGAAAGTCATGGGTTAACCTGCTGTTGTGGTTTTAATCTGCCCCACATTCAGATGGATGGGAGGTGGTGCCTGTTTGGACCCTGGTACTTCTGAGCCTCAGCTCTGATGGCTGACCTGAATTAGTGCTGTGAAGTCAGCCGTAGAAATGACTCAGTGGCACTCCAGGCGAGCGGAGGAGTGAAGCAGGATAGAGATCACACATTACAGCAGGTGTGAAAAGAAAACAGAGTGGGATGTTTACTGAGTGAACATGCAAAGGGTCAGAGGTCAATTGTGCAGAATTATATAAGTTTTAGAAGTGGCACTAGAGTGATTTTTATTTATTTATTTTTTGTACTTAATTTAGACAACCATGAGTGATGGGAAGATAATTCGTTGTACTGGTATTTAGTCATAAAAGTATACTAAAGGAGAGATGTGATGAACAGCACGTGGGAGGTTTTGTACCTGCATTAGCACACATTTCACCCAGCGGCTATGGAGCTGTAGTTACTTACAGACTTTTATAATACTTTCTGCCTCTCTATAAACCAATCAGTTGATGTGGGCTACAGGCTATTATAAAAAATAACCTCACCAGTCAACAGTTACACACTGCTCTGAGTCTATGGTTTACCAGGGAGGTGAAAATATCTGAGTGCAGCAGTCCAAAACCCCAGCTCAAATTACTGTTGTTACATCAAACATCTCCTTTGGTCACGATAATAATAACCACAGCTCTGAGGAGGGGAAAAAAAGGCCCATGACGCTCAAGAGTGCATGGAAACAGAGGGGCACCGAGCCCTGAAACTTCAGAAAAAAACCTCATAGCTCAAGGCTGACCATTTTAATCTCCCCCTTCATTCATCAGATCCCCCACTATGTGGAGCTGCTGCCAGGGACCCTCATCTCTCTCTCAAAAACACAAACAGTACCACAGACCCTGGGAGGCGGCCAGACCTGCAATGAAGGAGGGTCACCGAAGGGTCAAAGCAGATGCAGCCATGTTACATGCAAATGAATGTAAAAGCGCAATCACGACACAGTTGCAGGTAGTAGAAGCTCAAGAAAAGGGGGGGATGAATCCTGAAATCTGACAATCTACACATTTAAATCTAAGATTTCCCCCCCAAAAAAAGAGTCTTTAATATATGTCTTTTCTTCTTTTAATAAAAGAAACTGACAATACAAAAAAAGTGTTGATCACAATAAACAAAAAAGTTAATTCTTTGAATAGCTCTCTTTAACTTGTAATACAAGTCTTTTTCAATACACTTTCCAGCCTAAACAAATGAAATTTAACAGGCACACAGTTACAGTATGTGTGCCTGTAACATGTTAAGCTTTAAGACAACAAGACAAAAACAAAAGTCTTCTGGAGGAACAAAAGAACATAAATAAGACATTCGGCTCTGATAGCTCCACATCGAATCACTCCAAGTACCGAAAGTAATTCCATGCCGGCAAATCTAAAACAACAACAACAAAAAAGATTTTTCCCCTCACGGTTCCCTAGCAACCCAGTCTATGTAGTAGGTCATATCCTATTCTGGTAGTAGTTTGTAGTTGTACTATCTGCATATTTTCACATTTTTCTGGGACCTCTTAAGAGCCAAACTATGTCTGAAGAAATGGTCTAAGGCAAAAGAATCTTAATTAAACGCATGTCCAGAAAACTCTAGAAGTCTCATTATTTTATTCTAATAGCAAAACTTATTGGGGGATTTAAAAAAAAAAATTTCATGAGCCCCCTTTTATTTTATCCACTACTTTCTATCAATCTGACGGCATCCGCACATGTCTGGTCACTTTTCTGTAAAACTCTGTCATAGTCGTCTATCTCACTAGGTCTGAAAGATTATTATGATAGATCCTTACTGGGGAAGTGTCTCCTGCATCTTTGTGATTTTATCAGCTCAGTGGAGACTATCCCACAAAGAAATAGCATGTACATAATGACCCTGTACCTAACACCGTTTCTAATGCAATTGAATGAATTTCACAATTTCCAAATACAGAAGAGAAATTTCTGTATTTGGTTTGCCCTAAGTTTGAATGCCATCGTTATTTATCTATCCATGTCTAAAAGGGACTTTAGACCTTACAGAGCTTTGACCAAGAGATTTATCTAGAGTTTGAAGGGAGAATTCACAGCAGGTGGGTGTCACCTGTCCTGCCTGCTGGATGCTATACCCAGACACCACCCCTCATCAAAACCAACATTTCCTGTAGTGAGAATGCATCCGTCCCTGCTGTGTGTGGCTAGATGCTGTCCAGAGTTTGTGTGTAAAAAGACCAATCCAGAAATGTCACCAGTTTATGGGTTAAACCTTGTTTTGTTTTTACATTTTAATCACAAATTGTCTTAGTAGATCCAGTCCTGAGTAGGGAGGAACTCAAGAGAAGCTTTTCAAACGGTGGCGGTGGGCGGAGTTTGCTGAGGGTTGCTGGTGCCAGTGGGAGTGGCTTGTCTGGGAAGTGTGTACATGGCACCGAGGAACTGATCTGCGATGCGGCCGGCCTCTCGAAGACCACTGAGGAGTGCCCCGTGAACTGTAGCAGGATAGTTTCTGATGGTGTGCTCACCAGCGAAGAAGAGACGAGGGACAGGCTGCAAAAGAAAAGAAACAAACGCTTTGAGATAAGCTTTAAAATGTTCCGCCGTTAGAGTTGGTTAAAAGTAGACGGGATTGGGAGGGTGGGGGTGGTAGTAAATTGTTGTGGCTCATCAGTCAACACATACATGCGACTTGTTCACATCAAATCAGCACGCCAACATCAAAACAGCCCAAAAACATCTGTGCTGGGAATAAACCGCTCTGCTTTGGTTTGGTTGAATATTGTGGGCAACTTTTCCTCATTACTTTCTCGCTCTCACTCACACACACAAACACACTCCTGAATAATAAGCAGCCGTCTGCTGAGCACTTACCTGGGAGGCTCCTGGTATCGCTGGGCCAGGCGTGATGGGCTGCGCCATCAGGTCATAGTCATTGCCTGAAGAACCTGCTGCTACATATGAGTAGGATCCTCTCGCCCAGGGGTCGGCACGCCAGCGGGTGACCACAGTTTCCTTCGGCTGCCATGACAACACACAACAAAAACAGCACACGCTTTGTAAGAATTTTCCATGATGATATTAGAGGGACCTGTAAACAGCTGGATGGTGCACAGCTCCAACGCTGGCATGCATGCATGTGATTTTATCCCATTTGAAACCATAAGCAAATGATTTATAATGAAAGGTGGTTTGGATGCGACTCCCCCCCATTGCGGGCGCTTTCACATATGCTCGCTCTGTTAAGTTTTGCTGGTTATGGGGGTCAATTCAGGAATGAATTTGACATTCCACTTAAAGTATTGGAAAACTGAGAAAACCCAAATGTTTGAGCTTGAAAAAAAGCCCCAACCACTACTTCACTGGAGGCTTCAAACATAATATTAAGATGTGTCTGATCAAAACTAGGGGACAGAACAAAAGACGACACACAAAAGGCTCTACCTGTGGCACAGCGCTACTTCCAAATATTCCTTTAAGGATGGCCAGGCAACGTCCGACTATAACGTCATCACTGATGTTCTCCATAATGCCAGCAGCCTCGCCAGCCATCAGAGCGAGCAGGATCGGGGCTAAAAGAAAGAGTCACAATTCGTTATTTAGACCAAAATATGGTTGGGGTTTTTTGGTTTGTTTTTAAAGAAACAAATTACTCATAAGAACAGCTCTTAAGTAAAAGTAAAAGCCCTTAAGAAAGTACTGAAGCAGTAATAGCATCAACGGCTAGAAATATGTGATGTGTACACCACCTTTGTAGAGGTTCCAGAAAAGGAATAGTTCGCCCCGACTTGCAGTGGTGGAGCCGACGTGACCGAACAGGTTAACGCTCGGATCCCAGAACACGCGGTCAAAACACAGCACCACCTTCAGAAACAGGGAGGGTGATAAATTAAGAACAGTCACCTAACAATCAGGCAGCTTATTTAAGACAAAACTCAATCATTTGTGAAGTACATCTAATGCTTAGCACATTGACAGCTCAGAATAGGTTGGGCCATGTGAATGGTAGAGCTCCTCCTGCTGGAGTAACTGCGCTAGTAGCAGCTCAGATTGCATAATAATGCAGTACTCTCCTCTGTGATGCAGCAGAATTAGAAAATAAAGTACTCTGCTGCGGATGATGCACGACAACAGAGGGAGTAGAGGAGCTGGTGGGGGTCAGGATTGGCACAGAATGAGCACTCTGATCGGATTACTAACACGGGGCAAAAAGCATCTTTGGTGTGCACGCCATCCAGCTTTGTTCCACCTACACATACATGGCTCTCCTCTAGTCACCACTCATCATCTTCCAAACTAACACGAGGAATAGAACAACAATAGCATAGACATATATAGAGAAAATTGGAATCCTAGACTGATTTATGAAATAAAAAAATAAATAAAAAAAAATACACAAAAGAAATCGGCTCACTACAGCAGAAGTGCAAGCTTAGCAATTTGAGCGCAGAATAGCAAACCCCTCGAGACTACAATCAATAAATCCTGAATAATGATTTTGCTTTAAATGCAATATCCCTCCAGCAGCTGAAGGTCAGGTTTTCAGCATAATTATGCTGCAGCAAAAACAGAGGGTCATCTCCCTGAGAAACCAGCTCCTCAGTCCTGCTGAAAACACGCTACATGATTTAAAATAGCTTGAGCGCTGAAGCTGAACATGACAACATGTGTTAGGAGTCAGGCAAAAGTTGGGCACATCACATGTGTTACCCCACTGTGAATGACTTTAAAATTAAAATCTTTGGACTCCAGCATAAAAATGCGACTCCGTTTTTATGAGTAGAACCTAAACAATGCAGAGTTTATCCTTTTCACTTTAACAAATGCTTATCCATATATTTAAATCCAACCTTGTTGAGGTTGCCGAAACCCATCCTCTGTATAGCTGATGTCTTCCACTCTGGCAGTGGGGGAACAAATTGGACTGCAGGGGGCTGCTGCTTCAGCACCCCGAGGGGTAGTGTGCACAGCACAGCGTCACACTTGTAGATGAATGTCTGAGTCGTGGAGCGAGTGTTCACAGCTATAACCTCACAGCCTGCAGAATCAACAAGAGTGCTCCTTAAACATTCTGCATTTATATGAACTGCAATACTGAGTTCCTTCAGTTCCACTTTTGCCAAATGACATAAGACACATACCAGATGCTGTATATCGGACCTGCCGCACCGCTGTGTTTAGTTTGATGTCCAGGCCCTCAGCCAAGGCCACAGGAACACACGAGTAACCATTTCTTACTGTTAAGTGGCTGCCAGTGAACTCAAAATCATCATCCTGTGGAAACATTAATTTAACATTTTATGTCAGCACAATAATAAACTTCCCCAAAAGTATTTTCAAAGCAACAATAGCTTATTGAGCATATGAAAAAGCCAAGAACCTCGACCGTCTTCATTAAAACCAACCGCAGTCTTGCATTGCACAGTTAAGTCTTTTCAAAATGTGTTCGTGTACATACCTGATCCCAGTGCTTGAGAGAAAGGGTGGAGAGGGGTGTAGCGTTGGCAAACTCCAAGTTGGCAAAGTGCCAGTCTAGGATCTGCCGATCCCTGGATGACAGGTAAACATCACTGTGGGAAAGAAGGGGAAGGCAATGAGAAGTGAGGTACACTGACAGCTCACGCTAACTCAACTCAGGCTGCTCTTTCAAATGAAATTCTGAAAGAGTTGGGATGCTGTTTAAAATACAACTAAACACAAAAATATAACTAAAAACACAAACCCGTTATCTGATAAACTGATAACAGATAGAGCCCTTTCTACCACCGTGTCCGTTGATTTTTGGTCTTGTCTCATGCGTGCAGAGAAGTTTTGGAAACTGCTGAACCTTGTGGTGCTCATTTTTACTTTTCTAACTCTGCCTCTTTAAAAAGCTCTTTTTATACCCAGGTTACTGACGCGTCGCCAGGTAACCCAATTCATTTTCTTTTTAGTAACACTTACTTTTCCCGCATTTTGTTGCCCTTTCTCTTATAAATACTGCTTCATAAAATGCAAATCAGTGTAATCACTTTTTATTTATGTCTTGGAAAGCATCCCATAATTCTTCGTGACTGGGTTTGTATTTTAAAAATATTTCTTTAAACACACAGTCAGTGTTGTTTATTTAACCAACAAATTTCACTCAATCCATATTTAGCAAATGATGCTTCAACATAATCAGTCCAGTATTTTTACTTGTGAAAGCCGCTGAAGATTTACATCAGTAGTGACATCGCAGGTTAGTGTTGCAAACCCAACTGTGACTTTCATTAAAGGACCAAAAAACAATTGCTTAATAATAAATCACCACTGTAAACCTGGAAACAGGATTTACTTTGCCACTAAACACCAAAGTGGTACAAAGTACAGCCAAATCTGGGTATTTGTTCTAGCTCAGAACTCAAATGTAAAAACAACATCTCGGTGTTTAGAATCGTTTTTTTATAACCCCCCCCAAAAAATCCAAATCCTGTTGGGGTTCTTTGGGATGGAGGGTGGGGTCTTACCTGGGTGGATTTGCTTCCAGCTCTTGGAGTTTCTCTTCAAGTTTGACCTGCATCTCCACCAACTCATCATACTCCTACAAACAAACAGCACAGTCATGTAATGTAGATTTCATTCAGTGTACATACAGCCTAGACGTTTAGCAGTGTCACAAGGGATCACAATCACAGTGTAGGAAACTTCTTATGCTTCCAGATACTGGGAATATTATCACAAATACATGATTTTTAAAAGTGTTTTATAGTCTGGCCTCGATCACCATCTTAATAATTTTTTACTTCAGCTTGCATTTAGTATGCACTTCAGGACCCAAAATTAGCAATACACCAGTACTTCTGTCAAACAACAGACTTTTGGAGATTGAGTTTCACATGCATGTACATGTGTGTACACGGTACACACCCTGAGGGTTTCAGGTCATGCAGAAAGGACACGCAGCTTTGACAGAAAGAGCTGACTTAACCTGTTCAGTTCACCACAAGAGAAAAAACTAGGACAGTGCAAAGTCTGGTATTACCACGTAGCAGTCGAAGCTCCAGGCAAAGCTACATTAAGTCTTAAGGATCCCTCGCCTCTAAACTAGCTGACCTGAGGAAACACAAAAAGTGGCAAGACTACCACAGAATCTCTCAACAAAAAGAATTTCACTGGCTTTAAAATCTTGTTCTACAGTGCAGTCATAAAAGAATATAATGTGCATAAACACACACACACTCTCTTAAAAGCCAAGTCTGTCTTGCTAAAAGTGTATGTATACACATGTGCAGACAGAAAGACTGTAAGACAGTGATTCAAACCCTTGAAGTGGTCTCTCAGAGAGCGGATGGGTCGCAGACAAATCCAGTTCAGATACCAGCTGTGTTTAAACTAAATCTTCCCCTTTAAATACACACACAGCAGTAGTGGAGGTGATTTATCCTCACCAAAAATAAAACAGCGGCACTCACTCTAATATTACGTCCAACTGAGGCATTAAACCACTTAAACACAGCCTGTCTGGTTTACTTAGACAGCACAGCATTAAAATTCTGCGAGGCATCCACCCTGAACTAGTGGTCCATAAAATATCCCCTTCAGATGATAGTACTTCTTTAGCACTATAATACTCTTAAAATCACTTGTTAAATATTGAAAGTTCTTTCCTACACACTGTGGTGGGTCAACTTCCCGACCAATGAATGAACCTTATAATAAACCTAGAATGTCTAATACTGCCTCATAGTAGCTCAACCTACAGAAAATAAAAACAAAACACAGACACTATGTGACACTAACAAAAGTGTAGGATAGTGTAAGGAGTTGTAGCTATAATGCTCTTCTATGACACTGATTAGTGATTTTTGGATCATATCCAACCATCCATCCTCTTCCCCTTATCCCATGTGAAATACATTTGCTTTTGATCTGAAATAGTGTTAGACTGGCGATCTGTCCAGTGTCTATTTTCCATTTCTCAAAAAACAAACAAACATCGAACTTACTTTGCAGAGTGCGGTGAGGTCTCTGTGCTTGCTCTTCACCAGGAATTCAGCTGTGATATCTCTGGGGGGTTTTACTTCACTTGCTTCTTTATACTGCTGATGGAGCTCCTTAACACGTTCCTTAGTGGATACCATCTGAAAGGTGGAGAAAAGAGTTGAGGTAGGTAAGCAGAGCGAGGGGAAGAAAGTGGCAGCTAAGGAAATTCATAAAGTAATTTATGCTCACCTTATTAAGAAGATCCCTGAGCTCTTCCTGAGTCTTCACAATCTTCTTCCAGTGTTCTATCTGCTCATCTTTTACATGCTTCTCCTGCAGCCTACACACATACAGACACATTAGAGGTGCATTCAAGTACCTATAAGCATCTTTGATACTGATACCAGATTCTGTTACTCACTGTATGACCACCTCCAAAGCCTGACCCAGAGACACTGGTTTGTTATTGAGGAAGTTAAAGTCCAGCTGGTGGCTGAGGTAAGAGGTGGCCTCCAGCAGTCGGTTGAACTCTTGCTCCACCATCTCATCTTTTTCTTTTGGTACCTGGACACCCAAGCAATCGCATGAGGAGAATTTCTCATTGGTGGCATTTAAAAGACAGCATAATAAAAGTACAGGCACACGAGACATGGCACTAGTCAAATAAACAAAACTACACTTAACTCTTTTGATGTTTAGGAATAATGGAATCAATACTGACAAAAAAACTTTGATTCACTAATAAAAGTTATTCATGTCTCCTTAAAAAATACTTAGAAATATTACAGTATTTGATGCCTCGATAAACATGCAGAAAGAGATTTATGACATGTTTCAAAATCACAGAACACAGACAATGCAAGAAAAGAGTTAGATCTATGGCTAAGCATTAGTAGAACACATTACACATTATGATTGGGGTGAAACACATGAGGATGCTGTACATTTATCAAAGAATGGAGCTTTCTTTATTTGATTTGATTAATGCATTGAATATTTTTCACAGCCAGCCTCGTCTACTGCAATTTAGTAGAAATATAGCCAATGATATAACTAGATTTTCTGCATAGCATTGTTATTAAATTGAGCTAAAATATTGTGTTTGTAATGTGTTTTTTGCTAACCAAAGTTACTTTTTCAAAAATTGAAACCAGAAACATTTAAACTGATTTCTTATCAACTCACTACTTTAAAAAAAAAGCTAAAAAGCTAAACATAGTGTTTTGTCATTTTCTATCCAAACACAAAAGTTAATGACACTTTGCTTATTTGCTGTTCTCTTTAACTACTACAGGGATTTTAAAAAAAGTTACATGATGTGAAGCTCAAATGGATGAGCAGAAATATTTAGTTCTAAAACTGGTTAAAAAGGAAGTAAGAGAAATAGTATGCAAATAAACAGATACATACACTTGTGCATCGTTCACCCTTTAGTAGTTCACCAAAAAGATGAACATGGCAGGAGAGAGGGGAAGAGAGAGAGACAACATATTAAGTAAACATTTTCAAAGTCAAACGGTTTTGCACAAAAGTAAATCATGTACACTTAATTTGTCTTTTCCTGCAGGGGGGGAATTAGTTACACGTGATGTGACTGCTTCAAAAGATTTCAAAATAGAGCCTTGAAAAGGATCCTAAACATCCTACTAATGTTGCTGCAGTCTAATGGGTAGAACACAAACTAAAGGGGGAAAAAACAATTTAATGACATTAGGCTAGATCCGTTTCTAGGCTGTTCAGTTCCTAGAGGAACTAGAGCTGTTGTTGATCAGACGCAACAGTATGTAGTTAAAAACTCTACCACCATGTTTCGGTGAATCTTTGAAAGCCATAAAAGGGACAAGTACCAGCTAGGAATGCAAACACAGCACTTTAATGCCAAGAGTTCACCTTTTCTGCAAGCATCAAAAGAAAGAAAAGAAAAGAAAATCCTAACAGAATGTTCTGGTTTACACATCTGTACATGTTAAAAGCAGACTCTGTGGCGCTTCCGACATTTATGCATGAATGTGTCTAAAAGCATGGCCATGCCCTCGTTTAAGTTACAAGTGCAAACACACAATCAATTTCAACAAACTCAGAAACCACTGACTTGTTGTTGGACATAATAAAAAGACTCATTCAAACATTCAGAGTGAACCACCAGACCCACAATCAGGAACAGAAATCAAATAAATAAACCAGCATGGAGGTGGGTTTTGAGCAGTGGTTATCAAACTGTGGGGGATGATGGGGAACAGCCAGGTGAGAAAAAAAACATAATAAATTGACCCTGTGATGCAAGGTGAAGCTACTTTGTGATTTGAACCCTTTTGTTAGTAACTGATAAAAATTATGACTTCCCATGTGTTTGTTTTCACGAGACATTTGCCAACTTTAACCACATTTCCACATCAATTACTAAATGATTAAAGCTGCAAACGATTTCAAAATCATCTCCTAGAGTTAGGTAACCCAACAGAAATCATGTGAAATGACCCCAAGAAAGGCATTCATTGAAAACATCTTCACAAGACCACTGAGATGAAACAGAAAACACAGACTTTAACATGTCTACTGAACATTGTGTGGGTCTGGTCTGGAGCTATGGCAAACATAAGTTGTACATGGAGGTTATCTGTGTTATTAAATCAAATGGTTCACATAGTTCTGTTACCATCACTGGGAATGTTTAATGGGTGTGTCAGTATGAACAGCAGCATGGTTGAAGCAAGCAGACATTTTTCACACATCAGCATGCATGCCTCTATTGCTGTTAGCCTATTGCCACATCGTGGTTTTGTAACAAAATTTGGATTTTTACAAAAAACAAAAAAATAAAACAACAAACACACACAAAAAGTTTGTTATTAAAAGTAAATCAAATATATATTTACAAATATCTTAGGAGCCCCACTGAGTTTTGCTGCAACAGGATAATAACCAAGAGGCACCTCAGTATTATTAAGATCATTCATTGTACTTACAGCCTGTCCATTGGCTTCATATAGTGGACACTTCTGTTTGATCTTGGCTAGCTCCATGTTAACCTGCTTACTGACAACTGCCATAGGATTTCCTCCTGAACAAGTGCACACACAGACCCAAAATACAATGACATTACACAGGCTGTTATCACCCTCTACAGGTTAATCAAAGTAAAACTAAACCAATATAAAACTATAATTAAAAAATAGCTCTTAACACTGTGATCTCAGATCATGTGACACTAAAAATTATTTGCATCTTGAACACATGAACGCTTCTGAGTTTTGGAGTATTAGGAATTGTATACTAAAATATATACACCTCTACAGCACACAGATGCTAAACACTTACTAAATGCAAAAAATGATTAACTTCAGCATCTCAACAAAAATAATCTGATTCTTACCCAGCCCTGTCACTACCATGGCTCCAAGATCTGCAACATAGTTGCCCTTCCTGAATGTGGCCACTCTGCCTCCAACACGGTCCTGCATGAAAAGATTAACATTTCAAAAAAAGAAATTTAAAAGTATACATGAATAGAATTTAGAGGCTTGTTATAGTGAGCATTTTAAAATCTCAAATGACTTATACCAACATCTGATTAACAGAAATACTGTTAGTAATGTACCCTGGCTTCCAGCACAGTAACATCCATCCCAAAGCTCTGCAGCTGCCGGGCTGCGGCCAGGCCAGACACACCTCCACCAATGACTATAACCTTCCCAGTCTTCTTTGCTGCAGGACAAGGCAGTATTTTATTTTTCAACTCAAAGTCATGTAGAAAACATAAAATGTACCAAAATTAGGTTAATCGCTAGTGCTATTTCAGCAGTAGAATAACTGGATGAACTTACTGGGTAAAGGCTTGACCCTCTTGTAAATACCAAAGTTAATGAGACCATGCCTTTCCAAGTAACTGTGTATCCTGTGGACCAACACAGCATCACCTACAAAGAGAACAAATGGACATCAAATTTCTCTTTCTGTATGAGGACAAAAATAAAAATAATGGGGAAAAAGTGTTTTATTTAATTCCTCACTGTTATATGGAGCTTCAAGCTGCTGCGCTGTGGCCTCAAAGGTCAGCTGTATTTTAGGGTTGTCTAGCCACAGTTGGAGCTGGATGAGAATAACATGAATTACAGTACTGCCCTTTATCTAGAAACTCAAATTAATCCATTTATATGAATACATACCGTGCGGTTGCGAATGTACAGAAAGACCTTCTGAGTCTGTTGGGGACCACTTATGATGTCAGGGAAGCAGGCTGCTTCCTGGGATGTCATACGGTCATGAGGAAGACGGCTCTGGAAAGCAGCACCTTCCAAACCTAAAAATAAACACGCATATTTCTTTTCTGTTGAAATGAAGTCTAAGATCAGTTTAACACGCCACTCAGTTAAGAATTGCAACCAATTAGCAGAACATGTCTTCTTTTACTGCTCTAACATGCAAGTGTTTCACACACCAGACGGTTCATCTGGTTCACTGTCATTCTCTTCCTCCACAGGTGGGGGTGGAGGAGGGATGACCTGCTTCCTTTCTTTCTCTGCTTTGGCATTCCTCTCCTCCTCTGAGTAGTATTCATCCTCCGAAAGATTAGCCAGGCTTTCGTCCATCTCGCGGTACTCCACCTGCAACAGTAGGCACAATAAAAGCATCATTAAAACCGGCGTTTGTGTAAATCGTTCATTTACTCCCACTTCTCTTAGAAGTGCTGAAACATTTCTCAGGCATAACCAACAACTGCCAGAAATATCACACTGTAAACACTGGGAAACAACTGCCACTTCTAACTTTTCACGGAGGTGCAGACGCAGAAAAATACCTGTGTCTTGGGATAATGAACACTCCTCGGATAATGAACGCTCCTGAAGCACAGAATATAATCAATTCTCATGATGCCACAATAAACTTATTTCCTTTCCTTCCCTCGTGAGCATCTATAAACCTAAAATATTTACTTTTGCTCGCTTGCGTCGACTCGTCCTACGGACTTCAGCAGAGTCCTGATCTGCCCCTCCGGGGCCTGACTGGTGTGACAAAGAGGCTCCTCCATGTTCCCCACTAGGGGAAGACCTGTCCTTTTTCTTTGAATCCATAGCTCCAGCCACTGAGGCTGCAGATCCCGTCTGGATGTCAGAACCCGGGACCCTATCACCTCCCGCTGCAGAAGACGAAGAAGAGGAGGAGGAACCCGCATCTGATTTCTTGCTAGACAGCATTATGGAGGATGTTGGAGGCCTCTCCTGAACAAAAAAGGGAACAGGAATGAGATGTACTCCTTAATGATGATGCTTACAACAACAAAAAGTGAAATGGTTGAAATTTAGATGTTCGCAACAGTGTAACCAATAATAATAATAAAAGAAAATATTGGATGAACATGATGATGTGGTTTTGAGCACTGGGTAAATAACTGTGTGCACACATTACTGCACTTATACTACTGCAAAATATATGAAAATTAAAGATTTACTTTAAAGCAACATATAAAAAGTACAAAATCCATAGGGATAAGAAACAATGCACAAGGGTCTGCAAGTCTTTGCACCGTCAGTCCAAAAGCCCTTGTAAGTGTAATTCTCAGTAATTGAAGGTTTGGTTAACAATTATTTTTCATCATAAACATTTGAACATCCTCCTGCCATTTGAAGCAAGAACTGCAAAATACTGCCTGGTGTTTGAAAATACATCATCCCAAAATAAAGACATTAATTCGTTTGTTTTTTTTTATTTCTATAACTGGATGATTTAAACAATGTTGCGTGTGCATGGATGTCATGACTTTATGAAATGAGGGCACCAAGGTACAGTAACCTTGTCTTGTTTTACCCATTTCTCCGTGCACCTGGTAATATCCATTCAAACACTAAGAAATAAAGACAGAACCAGAAATATGGTTACGAACAGGACTGTTTGATATCGGCCTTTTGTGTAATTTTAAATGGATTTTAACTTAGCTAAATTACTTCGTAAAATACTGAGACCCTGCGTGGGACGAAGGTCTTTCACAATGTCTGTCGATCAAGTCGAGATATCTCCTGAAGACAACAGGAAATGGCTTGCCGTTTGCCCGTCTGTATCCTACTTTCTGATTAAATATGCCCAATCCGTTAGTCAGGAACCGTCTTTCTCTGACTTGTTTCAGCTAGCAAGCTAACGACAAAACTAGCTTAGCAATCATTTGCCAACAGCAGGTTTTCTTCTGTTCAGAGCCTTAAATGCACCATATGAATTTCATATCGTAACCATTTAACGCTACTGCTAAACGCGCAATGTACTGCAGCCATATAGATTTAACTGAATTTAATATATTCCTTTCTAATTTCTCATTGGCGACCATGCTAGGTTAGCCAATGCTAACAATAAGCTCCGGCTAGCACCAATGGTAGCATAAGAGCACGTACGCCGGTTTGTTTGGAAATTAATGCGTATTGATACACTGTTCGCGAAATCGTTTGCAAACGTTCTCACACTACTCTGCACTACACTGCTACTGTTTTAAGGCAACCGGAAATTATAAAATACTGAAAATATTAATAATACCTCTCAATCCCCCAGAAGATGTCAACACAAAGACTCCACACTATTAGACCTGGCACAACGAACTTCTCTGTGATTGGTGAATGGAAAACGTTACGCAATTGCCGCCCTGTGTAGTTAATGGTTGAGATAACTGCCAATCTAAAACAATGCCGAGCCTTTGAATAGCTCCTACTGTTACTGCCATTACTAGAGGGCGCTTTTCGTGGTTAAATGGATCATAACTACTGCAATGGATGAAATATTGTTTACCTTTAGATATGAACACTATGTTGGTGCTCTGGAATAGCTTCTGAATCCAGCACGGAAAGAGCGTTTTAAAGAAAAAAAAATCATTTATTACTAAATTACAGCATATGTTATACTGAGTCAAAATTACAAGTCAGTTTATCATTTTTTTAATTAAGTCAGCCTTGTAAAGCCTGATTCAAAAAATATTTGTTGAATAAAAGTAAATGTATATCAGTTTGCCCATTTCGGTTTTAATTTGCATAATTTTTGCTACTTCCGGCATTTTTTGTGGAGTTTATTCACACAAATCTCAAATATGATACCCTCGGAGTTTCAAATTTGCATAGGCCTAGTTGACATAGTTCAACCCAGTATCACGGCTTTTTATTTATTTTTTAGTGGCCAAAACAAGCCTGCATGTTCCGCGTTTCCGTCCTACTTTCTGTCCGCAAAACCTCGACCCTGCAAACAACTGACGTCATCCCTAGAAAAGAAAAGAGCAGGTGTGGCAGAGTAGGCGGGGTAAGCAGGTAAAGGTGTTCCGCTCCGTCGGGCTCACGACTCAGGGAAGCATATCGATGTTCTGTTTTTGAGGCTTTTGTGTCTTCGTTTTAGAGCTGATTGCACGTAAGTGGCTAAACATATAAACCCAAGTGTTAGGCGTGAATATAATGATAAAGCATTTTGTTTGGGGTAAACTATGTATCTACACAAACCCATTTAAAGGTGAGCGAAAACGCAGTGGTGTACTTTTAACAATCTGTATACCGCCGGTCGGGGTTTTAGATTTCGTGTGTACAGTATTACAAAGGTTTTCGCTGTGTTTTGTGTCGAGCTGTGCTACAGTGTTTTGTGACGTCAGTTGTCAACACACCTGTATAAATCGTTGGTGAACAAATGAGCTAGTATACTTTTAGTAGGGGGTTCATACATTGCCGTGGATGTGATAGACACATTTGCAATGCTATAAACTGGATCATACTTGTAAACCTATAATGATTCAATCCAACAGAAGCGAGAAAATGGTGAAACAAGAGTCAGAGTCAACCAACCGGCCAGACAACACCGCCTTCACCCAGCAAAGGCTTCCGGCATGGCAGCCTATACTTTCTGCTGGAATTGTAATCCCAGGATTTGTCCTCATTGGGCTGGCCTTCATCGGCATTGGAGTCGCTCTCCTTGTCACTTCCAGGAGCATCCAGGTGTTAGAGGTATGACCTCCACACTGAAAGCATATGCCTAGGATGAACAATCAAATGACAACTTTTTAAAATAATTATAATTATTAAACAGGGGCGGATCTAGAATGGTGGCATGTGCCACCCTAAAATGATCTCTTGCCACCCCAAGTGTCACCCTAGTTTTGCATATGACAGTGTTGTTTATTAAAATAAGATACCATTAACTTTGAATTTATTGAATAGTGTTAGCCCCCTACACCAGCGGTCCCCAACCTTTTTTGCGCCACGGACCGGTTTATGCCCGACAATATTTTCACGGACCGGCCTTTAAGGTGTCACGGAAAAATACAACAAAATAAAACTAGTACCGGTACCGAAAAAAAGAGGTTTTTTTCTTACCCCCGTGAAAGGACCCAGGAAAAGCGAGTTAACGATAAAAACGATAACAAAGTAACGCTGAAAACCGATAAAACCCTGAAAACCAGACATTTCACACCCGAGCCTCAACTCTCGCGGCCCGGTACCGAACGACTCACGGACCGGTACCGGTCCGAGGCCCGGGGGTTGGGGACCGCTGCCCTACACCATTAACAAATGGTTCAGCTCATAGCAGGACCGGCTTTTTTCTTGTTTTCAGCAGAAAGCCATGCCTATGATTGTGCCAGAGCACATTTTGAACAACACCGCTCCATGTTGTGTAGCTTTCTGAATTTTATACATATTGTGCTATATATTTATTTATTAAACTGGCTATAGAGTACATAGAATCAAAATTCACGTGTTTTATGTGGATTCTATGTGAAACTAACATGTTTAATTATGTGGGCTACAGAAAATAATTAAGTTATAGACAATATTTATATGAAAAGCATGTATATTTACTGCATTTGAATCATTTTAACCATATGTCATCACCTGCATATGTGTTTGGAAAAAAAAAGGCTTTGATTTTGCAACCCCATTTGATTTCTCTGCCACCCTCATGCCACCCTAAAAAAATTTCTTTAGATCCGCCCCTGTTATTAAACAGTCTTTAAACATTAAAATTGATATATGGGATCATTCTTATAAACAGTTACTGACCATGCTGTCTGCTTACAGACTTGATTACAAGAATAAAAATAGGTGTTTTTGAGAAGTAAGAATTCATACTTTGATGTTCTTTCCCACACAGTTGGACTACACTGGGGATAGCAACGGATCACCATGTTCTAGCTGCTCCCAGTCAGTTATAGCAAACTGCAAGTGCTCACTGAACTTCACCCTCACTACTCTGTTTCAGGTTGGGATGGATCCTTATTTTATATAATTTATGCCAGCATAACTGTACTCCTGCCTCTCAATTCAGTGGGGTTTTTTGGTTATTGCTTTTTTTTTTATGTGGGTTTTGTTTTCCTTAATCCAGGGCCCTGTGTTCTTTTATTACGGATTGTCAAACTACTTCCAAAACTACAGAAGATATGGGGCATCCAAAGACGATAATCAGCTATATGGAGACCTGAGTTACTTTACAGTGAGTTAAGAACACACAGTATTTCACAGACATGCACAGACTTGGATGTGTAAAAACATGCAGTTTCTAAAGCTGTCCTGAATTTACTTTTACAGTTCTGTAATTCATGTAAATCTTACAGACCATGGATTTAAAAAAAATGTCTGTATCTCTTGAAGAGCCCCAGTAGTTCCTGTTCCCCCTATGACTACGACAGCAGCAAAAAACCAATTGTGCCATGTGGATCAATAGCAAACAGCATGTTCAATGGTTTGTATGGGATCTCTAGTAATTGTGGAGATTAAAGTATCTTCTATAAAAGGAAGTGTTAATTTTTTTTTTCTTTTAAAGACACTTTCACGCTGACTTGGACCGTCAATGGGACAACAAATAACGTGCCCTTGGATGGAAAAGGAATAGCGTGGTGGACAGACTACAACATCAAATACAGAAATCCAAGTGTTACACCTCTGAAGAATGCCTTCAATGGTAGTACCTTTAGTTTAATTTTATCTTAAGTTGTGTTTAATAGAGGGTAATAAAGTGCACATTCCAGGAACTTAACATACTTTGGTAAATGTTGGCCTACTTTGACTTGCAGGTACTGTGAAACCCATAAATTGGGCCAAGCCTGCTTATGAGTTGGACGCATCAGACCCTAGTAACAACGGGTTTGTGAATCAAGATTTCCTGGTGTGGATGAGGAGGGCAGCACTGCCAAATTTCAGAAAGCTGTATCGACGAATCGATGCAAGCGGGGATTATCAAAAGGGTCTCCCAGCTGGAAACTACACGATTGACATCACCTACAGTATCCTTGTACTCATTACAGAATATACGATGATTTAAAGGATGATGCATATTTATAATATATGTATTTATACACATGTATAAATGATGATATGAAACCAATGATATTTAACACTTACAAAATAGCCTGCTGTTTAAAAAAATAAAAAATTCCACCGATTTAAAGATTTACGAGGCTCCAGTGTCGTGTTACAGCCACAGCAGTGTATTCGTAACCTGTTCAACGGGTTGGGTGTGTCTCTGTTCACCAGAGCACTGGCTTGAGCACAATGACTCAGGAGTTCTTTAAGGTGACCAAAAAAACAGGCAAATCTTCTGACATAGGTAAACAAGCTAGGCAAATAGCTTTTGATTGTCCTGTGCCAAGGCAGGACTTATGTAAAGTTCTCCATATCGCCCACTTTAGAAAACAGGGCTGTAAGTTTGAATACTTTCAATACAACATTTAAATATATTTGTTTGTTTGCAATACAAGCAAGACAGATTTTTATGGAATGAAAAATGTACTTTTTGATATAACTTATGTCTTTTCTGCTTTAGTGTTATTGTTTTCCACAACTGGTATCCATTTGTATCTATTCTCAGTGTATATCCTTAACACTTGTGCCCCAGACTATCCTGTTCGGGCTTTTAATGGGGCGAAGAAGATTGTGTTCAGCAATGTGTCCTGGATGGGTGGAAGCAATGAATTCCTCGGCATTGCCTACCTCGTGATTGGTTCCCTGTGTGTCGTGATGTCCGTAGTTATGCTCATCGTCTATGCTAAATTCAAGTTCCCCGATGAGGAATGAGCATCCTGTCATGGACTTCAGCGGATGTATCGACTCGATCAACGTTTTCAATTATCCTTTCCGTCTTTTTGGCCTTCATTCGATGAGGTGATCAAGGTGCGGTTTAGTCCTCATGTGAAATGCTCAAATTACGTATTTTATCCTGGGTATGAAGATTTATCTTCGGAGGTGCAGACAAAGTCTGTTTTTAACTTTCAAAGGACTTGATGCTGATGTTACTGTATTGATTCCATGCAACTAGTGAGCTAGCATAATTTATTTTATTTTTTTTTTAATGTTGGTATATATAGTTGTCCACCGGCACATCTGTAACCTTATCCTTTACTTGTCTAGCCAACAAATAGTCATTGCCAGCAGACCTCTTAAAAACATGCTTTTGTCATCAAAAACTGAGCTGCATTCTCACTTTAACTCAGTAACAATATTAAAGCCATAAATCATTGAAAAGCTATTTAATCTGTGGGGTGTGTAATAGAAGTTGCAAATGTTGCTGTTACTCAGGGATGCGGTGTATAGGCTAAGCCCCTAATTATATTTTCTCTTAACTTGTTCCAGTTTGAACTGTTTACTCTTTCAAACTCATGCTTTA